GAACAGGGGAGAACTTGCAATTTTCAATTCATAATTTCATTTTATAATTCTCTCAGAATTTATGTCATTTATAGTATATTACTGATTATTATACTAATTTTTATTATCAAGATTGATATGTGGACAAGAAGCTGGCATGGTATCTAGGATAGAACCAAGGTTTTGAGGTCACAGAGATCTTGATTTAAGTCCTGGTTATTATACATATTAACTAGACCTCACTGAGCCTCTGATATCTAATCTATAAAACAAAGATAATGATATTTATCTGGAAAGACATAAAAATTAAACAAAATAATGTTTTTTAAAGCAGTGGTCCCCAAGCTTTTTGGCACCAGGGACTGTTTTCATGGAAGACAATTTTTCCATGAACCAGGGACATGAGGGATGGTTTGGGGATGATTCAAGAGCATTACATATATTGTACACTTTATTTCTATCATTATTACATTGTAATATACAATGAAATAATTATACAACTCACCATAATGCAGAATCTAATGCCACTGTTGATTTGACAGAAGGTAGAGCTCAGGCAGTGATGTGAAAATGGGGAGCTGCTATAAATACAGATGAAGCTTTGCTCACTCGCCAACTGCTCACCTCTTGTTGTGCCGCCTGGTTCTTAACAGGTCATGGACTGGTACCAGTCCACAGCCTGGGGGTTGGGGACTGCAGTTTTAAAGTACCTAGACAGAGCAGCTAACAATGGAGTACACACCTAACAATGCTCAGCACCTAAATAGCTGCTCCATTCTTATCTCCAAGCACTGATGGTCTCTTCTACACCTGCTCCCCCATCTCACCAAAAACAAAAAACAACTTATTGAAAATATAATATTAATAGAATTTCTGTTATTTAAAAAGACAATATATAACTTACACCAAGCTTCAAAATTAACAAAAACACTTTTCATTAACTCATTTGTTCCTCACAGAAGCCAAAGGAGATAAGATAGTGCAGGATTATCTCCCACTTAACAAAGGAAGAAGAAATAGGTCCAAAGAGCTAGTATCATACAAAGAGCTAACCACACTGGCTCTGTTATCACAGAGACCTGCCAGAGTTGAATTCAAGCTTTGCCATAATTGCTTCATTAGTAAAATGGGAATGATTCATCCTGTGATGATTAAAACATGACTATTCCTTCATTTGTTCAGCAAGTATTAACTTACAAACACTTAACATGTATTGAGAGTCACTGTACTACATAGCAAGGATAAAGTCTCAAGTGAATCAGCCATAATAATCATCCTCACGGAACGTACCATTAAGTGGGAAATAAAACATTTATCATATATACACACAGATACATGTAAAACTGCAACTACGCTAAGTGCTACAAAAATTACGTAAACCACTTTATGGGTAGGAAGTATAACCAGGTTAAAGAGGCCAGGGAAGTCTTCCTCAGAAAACCACATAAGAAAAGAGATCTGAAGAAATGACAAAGAGAGGTGTTTGATCAGTTCAAGAGGAGAGATCTAAGGATATTGATATTGGGCTTTGGGCCTACAAACAATCCATCAGATCACCCTACAGTGAAGCTCAAAGTTCACAAGTCTTACCACAGGCAAAGACAAAGGCTATACAGGGAGAAGAAAACTTTAAAATAAATTCTATTATTGATACAATCAGAACTAAAAAGATAATATAAATATACAGTTAGGCGTTTTTTTGTTGTTGTTTTGTTTTGTTTTGTTTTTGAGAAAGAGTCTCACTCTGTTGCTCGGGCTAGAGTGCCACGCGTCAGCCTAGCTCACAGCAACCTCAAACTCCTGGGCTCAAGCAATCCTTCTGCCTCAGCCTCCCGAGTAGCTGGGACTACAGGCATGTGCCACCATGCCCGGCTAATTTTTTCTATATATTTTTAGTTGGCATGGAAATTTGGTATAAAATAAGATTTAGGGAACAAAAAGGAATAACAGGACAGTAAAACCATTTTGAAACATTAAAAATTCAATAAAAGAGTTAAACTATGAAGTTGAAGAAATCATCCAGAAAGTAGAAGATAATGACAAAGATGGAAAATAAGAGAGAAAAGAAAGTTAAAGAACCCGGCCAGGAAATCCAGTATCTTAATAATAGGAGTTCCAGAAAGAGAAAACAAAAGGGAAGAACTAATCCAAGAAATCAAAGGGCACACAGAGAATATTCCATAAGATTCTAAAAAGGAAAAAACAAACAACTAGATCAGATACAAAGAATCAAGAACTAGGATTGCTCTGGATTCTCAATACCTACACAGCAAATGAGAAAACAATGAAGTATTGACTCCAATATTTGAATGACAATAGTTTTCAACCTTTAATTCAATATTCAAGTAAGAGCACATAATAATGTCATTTTCATAAACATAAAATCTCAAAAAACTTACTTCCCATGCCCACTTTCTAAAGAAAGCATTGGAAGATATGTTCTACCAAAGGACAGAGTAAACCAAGAAAAATGAAGACAATATGGTACAGAAAACTGCAAGTCCAACACAGAGGAGAAGCAAAGGAAGATCTCAACTTAACTGCTTGCACTGGGCACAGAAGACAACTAATCCAGACCAGAGGAGTGCAACTCAATAGAACAGACATAATGAGGGTTATCATCACCAAGATCCTGTAAGAACAGTATGTCTAGGAAATATAAAGAGAAAATAGAGTAACAAATTGTTTTGGTCCCTAAGAAGGTAGGAAGCGATGAGATATGATCCAAAGCTGAGGTGAAAAGAGACAGGAAAAACTCTGCTCCTGAGACTCCTCAGAAGGGTCTTGAATATAGATAAATGCAGGTAGTGGGACAATAATGCTATCATGCATGAGCAGTGTTGAGACTGCTCCACCAGTTCCACTATTAATTTATGATCATCTGCTCTCTTGAAAATTTTCTTCAGCAGTACTTGGCTACTTAGATGCAGACTGTCTGGTTATCTGGGTTATCTGGATTCATCAGAGGTGGGATTTCATTTTGTTTCATTTGTAGAGGGCAAAGATTATAGTATAGAGTATTATTTAAATAATGAACTATGAACTCTAACCAGGATAAAGAAGAAAATGAGAAAGGATAATATATCTAAAGTGATTAGGATGATGCCAGGGCAATAATAAGCAATTTTAAAAAATGACAGCTATTATTATTACTAAACACAGTCCTCTAGCAGTGATTTCATTATTCTAATTTGTAATCATTTCTATATATTTCTCTCTTCCATCACAGTGAACTCTTTGAGAATGAACAGTGAGTCTTACTCATTTTTGCCTCTTCCCAAAGCCTAACACAGTAGATGGAACACTGTGACTATTAAATGTATATGATTAAATCAATGAATCAAATCCCCTCTTCCAAGCTATCTATATAATTTTTTTAACTGATTATATGTTATTTCCCTTTAGAAACCATGTTAGAATGGGAGGTCAAGTCTCTAGTTGGTTCTTATAAGTGTGACACATTATGTAACACCTAATAGGACACTAAAACACCTGAACCTCTAAGTCTAACTAACACTTTAAGGAACATATATGCAGAGTTTTCATCTGGGATGTCAAAACAATTCCTTGTCTTTATATTCTAATGTGTATTCTAACCGGCAGAAGTCACAACAGGAGAGAAGTTAGGTAATGGGGATTTCAGGCAGTGAAGAAAAAGTTAAGAAAAAATTTTGCAATAAAATACTTCTTGGTCCAGTTTGACTCCCTCTAACACTCTTGTTTTTCCCTGAAGGTCCCAGGAAATGTCCCGTCTCTACTTTTAAGGAAAGAACTTGTAGTTTCTGGCCAGAGTTGATCTCTTTCCCAGAGCCACTACAGAAAAAAGAGCACCTGCTCTGGCTGTATCCCCGTTTTCAATTGCTGATTCGTAAACCAAGCAGTTCAACTATAGCAATGTGTTTAGTTTGACAGTCATTAAGAACAACACATTTGAGAGGGATGGGTTGAAAATAAAGGAGAAAGAAAAAATAAAAATGTTTGGGTTCTTGAGAAAACAGGAGAGAATGAGATATAATCTAAAGCAGAGCTTGTTTGACAGCAACAATAGGGAACCTGGCAGAAAGTTAAAAAGGTTTTCTTCTCCTCCAACCTTTTCTCTTTACTTCAGTGAAAATTAAAGATACATAGAGGTGGTAAAAATAGGGAAAGACAAGATCAAGTTTGAGTGCATAAACGAATCCAATCTATCCACATTTCAGAATAATACCTAGAGTAGAGACATCTTCATATAACTACTGGACTTTCTTTTTGTTTGCTCCATAAGCAGCTGAAAATCATAAAATATTAATGTCCAATTTTACCTATAAATTAAGGATAAAATTATGAAATTTTTAAGAACTTCAGTTTTTTTAAAAATAAAAAATAGCCAACATAATTATCACCAGACATGGTTGAAGGCCAAAATTCTGGTTAATAAAAAGTTCAGGCTAAGAGATACACTAAAAATATATACTTTTTAATATCAGACATATTATAAAATATGCTTCTTTATAAAAATAAGTAGTTTTATAAAATACTGTTTTTTGCAAAAGTTTTTTACATAAATGCTTTTCAGAAAGTAACAACACAACCTAACAAAAAAACCCCTACTTTGAAATATCAGTCTTTCTCTGATGATTCAGAAGATACCTGAAGATTCTACCTGGCTTCAATAATTGATGGATACTAATGGCTTGAGTCTCAGCAAATAGCTCAGAAGCAGTTTCCCAGCTTAAGAGTTATTATCTCATTTTTTATATCAATTATATGTATCAATAACTACTATATAGCAAATATCTGCCACAGCTAGGGAATAATACAACCCTTTACTGTGATTTGGCTTTATACATTTTCTTACACTAAAAATTAATTCTGAATTATCTGAAACACAGGTTATCCAAACAGTATCAAGTATATTCCAATGAAATGCAAAATAGCCTGGCTATTATCCTATAGACTCAATCCCATATACCCAACACCCAACTTATGAGTTATTTTTGTTTTTAATGAAGCAAAATTACCACAAATATTAAATGTATTACCTTCATAATGTTAACTAAATCTATTTGATAGTAGCGATCCTGATGTGCATTTGCTGCTGCTAGTGTAAGAAGATAATCATTCCTTGCGTGGGTAGCTTTGGAATTACATTCAGATCTCCGGGCTTTTAACTAAAACATAGTAAAAGAGAAAAAAAGTTAATACAAACTCATATTGCATTGCAAAACATATAAGAATACTACTCTTAGTTGACAGTTAATGGCTTCACACCAAGAATAAAGGTAACCATGTGGGAAAAACATTTATGTGTATGTAATAATTATTCATCACTAATGAGGAATGAAACAGTAATTAGTCCTGTTGCACACCGTAAGAGCATTTTCAAATATTAATTATGCTTAACAGACTTCCAAAACTTTCTAAAGAATTTCAAAATATCTTGTTTGTTTTATTCAGATAGGAAAATAAAGTTTCCAAAATTAAGTAAGTACCTTGTCTTTGAACAGATAGGTAAATCTAGTGGAGTTAGAAAATAGTTTTAAAAAAATCAGCACTCCTAATGTGCCAGAAGAACTGCATGCTAGTTGGGAGCCTGGCAGCCAAAGCCAGGTCACTAAGCTTACTTAATCAGGCATTCCACAGCTGGAAGCTTCCATGGGCAAAACGCACTTGCATCTAGCCCAGAATATCTGCACCAGGGTCTAAGTTTGAACGAAATAGATTTCGTAGAGCTTTCTAAAGCCCCTAGACCAAGAGCTAAAAACAACAGGCTACATAAGCACGTACGGTATAGAAACTTATCCCTAAAGTAGTCTTGAGAAGCAAGCTATGTCCAAAGTGTTGACGTCTAGGTGAAAACCTCCATGAACTAGGATGGAAAGTTATGAGTTAATGACTTTAAAATGCTTCTCTCAGGTAGAAATAATCCATCTCCACCCCTCAAAAATGTCCAGTTCTTTATTTTATAAACTGAGAGGTTTCTCAATTGTGAAATACACTTTTTAAAAACTCACCTTTACACTTGCCTTCTGTAAACTGATTCTTGATTGAAAAAGACTAAGTTTAGATCTATAATAAAAATAGAAAAGTATGTTTAATAAAATAATCAAATTGTATCATAATAAAATTACTAAATATTACTGAATTATTTTAAATGACTTTTTCAAGATACTGTTCTAAAAATGAATTTGAAAATGGAAAACCAAGAGCAATTATTATTTTCCTTTATTTTACTACAGGAAGATTTTAATATTATGATAAAATAGGAAATATTAGGATGAATAAAAATATACTGAATGACAAAAAAAATCTGACAAAGAAAACATCAAAATATATTGATGAAGGTCAGGAGTTCAAAACCAGCCTGAGCAAAAGCAAGGCCCCGTCTCTAGTATAAATAGAAAGAAACTAATTGGCCAACTAATATATATAGAAAAAATTAGCCGGGCATGGTGGCATGTGCCTGTAGTCCCAGCTACTTGGGAGGCTGAGGCAGGAGGATCACTTGAGCCCAGGAGTTTGAGGTTGCTGTGAGCTAGGCTGACGTCACGGCACTCACTCTAGCCTGGGCAACAAAGCGAGACTCTGTCTCAAAATATATAGATAGACAGACAGACAGACAGACAGACAGACAGACAGATAGATATAGATGTATCCTAATAAATGAGAATCATAATCTATAGGTTATTTCCAGTATCATACAATTTTACACACTTTAGTTCTTACAAGGAAGGTCAGCGAAACCCACGGACAACCAACCTATGGAGGCAAGGGTTAAGCAGGCTTTCAGAGCTGTGTGTCAAAGGCTGTAACAACACCATGAATGTGATTTATAAGCTGTAGAAAGCCCTTACTTCCATTATTTCCCCCATTAAAAGTTCTTCTTGTTTGGGTACCTGCCTATGTGCCCCTCCACTCTTAAGGGTAGGTATTCTGAACTTATTGAGAAAATCCTTAGACTCTCTGCCCTGTATGATTTTGTTCTATTTAATCTTCTCCCACTCTGGTGTTCTTATCTCCCTTGATCCTTTTCAGTTTAGGAAGGGAACTATAATCTAAAAGTGAGTAGCAAAAATATGTTGATTTTACCCAAACAACTAGAGATAATCATAGAGTGAAAGTCAACACACAAATGCTAAGGAACAAGCAACCCTCCTAGGACCACTGATTTTTTTTTTTTTTTTGAAGGTGCAATGTTTGTCTTGACTGCAGCGTCACAGTGATTGCCATGGGAGAATTCAATGCATGTGCTGGCAGCTATGCCCCATGAAGTAAAGTTGCAGAACAACAGGGATTGTAAGATGGAGCAGCCAGTCTCTGCCAAGAAAATATAAAGAGGATAGCAAAAGCAGCCTCTTATCTTTCTAAGAGAGAAAACATTCAGGGATGAACACATAGGCATCCCAACCACTTGACTATTGTTCAAAAAAAAAACATTGGTCTGAGATATTCCTGTTATTTTCTACCTTTTCATGTTCATATTTCATGGGGTTTTTGTTTTCATTAATCAGATTCCTATTCATTTTGATCTAGAAAAGCAAATGCCAAAAACTCAAATCTTAGAGAGAGCCTTTCAGGGTAAGAAAGACTGTTTTGGGGTATTTCCAGCTCTTCTTTTGCTATAGTCAATATCCAAATAGACTGAGTTGCACCTGGATCTTCCAATATAAGGTTTTAACTTTCGACCTTGTGCTTCATTTGCTAATCTGCATATACTTCTTCTGTGGTATTAAGGTAGGTATTAGTGATAGAATAAGACAGTACTTTCTATCAAAGATTACAATCCAGAAAAAATAAGACAGGATTTTTAGAAACCATCCACCATACAAATATATTGCATGCTACTCTTTACCATCTACCCTTCAAATGTTAACATTCCCTGGGGTTCCAAACGCAACTTCTCATCTCATTCTATATATATTTTTATCCTTATAACTATCACCTAATAGGAAACTGACCCTCAAAGTGAGATCCTAAGGCTAAGATTCTCATCTAAGCCAGCTATCTGACTACCTACCAAATATATTTAATTCAGTATCTCCCAAGCTCTTCAGAATCTGCATATTTAAAATAGAACTCATTATTCCTTCAAAATTATATACCTCTTCCTTCTATGGTCTCTCATCATCTGTTAAATCATCTATCAAAACTGTATGTAGTCCAGTTTCACTTCTACTCCCTGATTTTCTTCCCCATCTCTACTTAGGCAAATCATATTTATTCTTCTAGATTCTGCCCAAATGTCACTTCTATAAAGCCTTTGCTTATCATTAGGCAAAATTAATCTCTATATTTTCATGCTTTCATAACAATGTTTTCACATTACTATTGTAAATTACTAGTGACTAGGTGAGTGATTTTAGGCATTTAATTTCTTCAAGTTTATTGTGAATAAATAAATCATAAAATTAACTTTTAAACACATTTTCTAATTCTAACTTTTAAACTCCTGAGGACACCAAATTTAGCTTACTCATTTCTGCACCCAATACAAAGTAATTACTCAATGAACATTTAATGAATGAATGAAGATAAAGAGGCACTTCTTACTCTTGTATTGAATTAATTTTCCAGAAAGGTGATACACTGAATTAATATGTCTAACTTGTACATCTCTGATTTTCTCCCATGTTAGATGATAGTTCCATGTGATCAGCTCTGGAGATTGGACCATCAAATCTAAACTTCTTAGGAATAGCCTACCAATGTAGGCTATTTTTACCCAGTGAGCTGTGGCTAAATTAGGTATTTATATATACTCTACGAATTTGTCAATTCTCTGTTCTAGAATCCCTGAGAGTTTAAAAAACAAGTTCCTGGCCGGGCGCGGTGGCTCACGCCTATAATCCTAGCACTCTGGGAGGCCAAGGCGGGCGGATTGCTCAAGGTCAGGAGTTCAAAACCAGCCTGAGCGAGACCCCGTCTCTACCATAAAAATAGAAAGAAATTAATTGGCCAACTAATATATATATATATATAAATCAGCCAGGCATGGTGGCCCGTGCCTGTAGTCCCAGCTACTCGGGAGGCTGAGGCAGGAGGATTGCTTGAGCCCAGGAGTCTGAGGTTGCTGTGAGCTAGGCTGTCACAGCTCTCGAGCCTGGGCAACAGAGTGAGACTCTGTCTCAAAAAAAAAAAAAACAAAAAATAAACAAGTTCCTACAAACCACCATGCCAGGATATTCCTAATGGAGATCTCCTAATCTAAAAACTTCAGGTCTTTGTGAGAAGATGGGTTCACTGACTCTATGAAAGCACAGGAAATATTTGTATGCCAAAAAAATAAAATAATAAAGAATAAACTAAATTGGAGAAATATTAAATATGTTTTTCTGTAACATCAAGTACTTAATGAGTATTCACTTACCATCTCTTGGTACTAAATAAACTTTCTAGGAACCCCTGCATTTTCACAAGATGCTAATAACGTTGCTAAAATTTCTTGCAGATAAAAACCATATTAGAAAGACAGGACCTCCCTGGCTGATCTGTTTGTATAATTCTTCAAAGCCTTTCTGATTTCATGACTAAGAATTCAGACTCCTAGATTCTGTATCAGTCAGCACACTGAACCAGAGTCTCAGTTCTCCTTCTCACGGATCTCTTCAGAGTATAAATTCTATAACAGGTTTATTTTTTCTCATCAACTTTTTACCTTTCCTCAAGTTATCATTGCAAAAATCTCCATCATTTGCTCTGTATCTCCTTCTATTACCAATTGCCAGTTCCTTTTCTTCGTTATTCTCAAAATAAAGGACTTGCAATTCACATATATTGAAAGAGAAATTCACACAATTGCTAAAGCATACATTAAAAAGTATATTTGCTAGAATTTCAGGTAAAAGAAAGAACAGTGCCCAGGGTATGGTTTCTATATGGAGGTCAGCACTCTTCTTCATTTGATGTGTCCGTGGTCCTCCAGTGGCATCCTGAGGATCAAAGATTTCCAACTACAATTGATTTAGAGCCTAGCATGAGAAAAATGAGGCTCTTAAACCATAATATTCAGACACCATAGTAATTTTAACTAGAATTTTGATAAGTTTTGAAGTCTATAAATACAATGTTCATTTATCTTCTTTCCCTTTTAAAATTTAATTTAATGCGAAAAAAACCCCAATGCAGCAAATAGTTCCATTTTGCTACATAATCTGAATAAAAACCAGCCAATATAAAAAATATGATCTAAAGTATATAACATATATAGGTCAAATGAAACCAATACTACCTGAGAATGAATCTATGCCCTGTATTAACAGAGAACAAAGTATTAGCAAAGATAACATTTATTTGCATAATCATTTCTTCAGAAATGCTAAAACACGTACTTTGCCTCGATGTCAGCTTTCTCTCGTACTGCGTGAGCCATCTGTTCAGTCTCAAAGTACTTCTTTTTGCCTTTAGCTAAATCTTTCACTGTCTCTTGTAATTCAGTTTGGATCTTTGTCAACTGGTCCACACACTGTAAAATACAAAAGTGCAATTATTACAATTTTAGTTTTCAGGCTTACAGAAAATGACTTTGTCCTAAGGACTATGTATTATGCCTTCAGCATGAAAAACCAGAAGAATCAGCACTTTCAGTGTCCTTCAAATTACTAATTAAAATCCAGCAAGCAGCTGGTACTCCCATCTCACGTACTATATCAAATATTGTCACAGTTTACCTAACAACTGTGCTTTGAGAAATAACCTGAGTGCTGCTGCTGACTGACATTAAAGGTAAGGCATAAGAAGAGCTACTGTGAAAATGCTCTTAATGTCAGAGATATAATGGCAATAAAAGCAAAAGAATAATGCAATTTTATATTTCCTCATAATCTTAATAAAGTCTCTCTACATGTTTGGGTAACTGATAGTACAAAGGGTACTGAAGAATTCACTCCTAGGCAAGGAGTGAAACCTGAGAAGTCTGATTTGATAAGCCCCAGGTGAAGGAGAGAAGCAGGAAACCTGGGTACAACAGACATTTATTTATTTAATGATGTTCTTCAATCTCTGACCATATTAACAATTATTGATCAAAACTATCCCCTGCCTATCACTTGGATACACATATACATTCTAGGAGAAGGGATGGACATAATAATTCAAAGAAATGTTTAATTAAAAAATTCTTGTGACACACTGGGGCCAAAGTAACACTGCTTCTGGATCCTTCTTGCCACGTAAAGGGGAGAGTCATTTCCCTCAGTTTGAAACACACCACTGAGAAGTTTCATAGCCTGAGGCCAGCTCAGAGAAGTCACCAGCTAAAAACTTCTGAGCCAGGAATACCACTGGTAGAAAATGACAAAAGCTCAGCAAAGCAGGAGACACTGGTGAAGGACTACTGTGCAAGGCTGAACACTGTGGAGGTGACCAGAGACATCAGAAGAGCAAGGGTAAAGCAAGAATAAACTTACACTATTATATATGGCACACAGGCTACTTTCCCAGAAACCGATAGGTGTTAAGAAAGGACTGCTTTGCAGGGGATGAGAGATCTATAAGGTTCTGTGTGGGTAGGTAAAAGCAAAATAACCACTCATATTTATCAAGAACTTAGTGTCAGGCTGTGAATAAAGGGTTTAAAAAAAAACAAAATAAAATAAAACCCTTTCTCTTCTGCACAAAAACGGGACCTCTGTTTAACTTTCTAGGACTGTGTTTCAATAGAAACCTGATGAGAAGACACAATGTCAGCTGTGTTATTAAGCAACATTACTTAGGAACCTTGACAGGTAAACTGCATCAATTTGAAAGAAACTACAAATGAACTATAAATATCTAATAAAGAAACCATGGCTTTCAACTTCCGTGAGTACGGTGATTCCTGTATCTGGGCATATCCCTTGCAGGGACCCTAGAAGCTCTGTCTATATTAGTGTAATAAAAGACTTTAGTCTCCTTTAGGGCCTAAGGCTGGCCCCACACTTGTGCATCTCACTCCCTTGCCCCAGACCTCTCACCTGGAGAACCAAACAGAATGAATGGTAGGCTATGTGAACTGCGACATACGTTGGTATGAATTAATTCCATTAATGCCAGATGCTACTCTGCTGGCAAATTGTGTTTCCTGTACTATGTCCTTCTAAATAATCTCTTATGAAGTGTGGCCTACAATAATCACGAGAGTCTGAATGCTTAGTTACACCTAAAAAGACCCTTGTGGGCATTGCACAGGCCTTGTGTTTCACAGTTTATAGGTATTATCACATTTCATTCTCGAAATGACTCTGTGAAAAAGTTAGTAGTAGTAGTCCCGTTTTAAGATGAGGAAACAGACTCAGAGGTTAAATAATTTGCTCAAAGTCATACAGCAAGGAAGTGATGATACCATTTACCATGTAACCCATTAAAATGTGTACCCTAGTTTTGTGATGACCATGTTTTTAAGGTCTCATATAGAGATACCTTACCTTACAATAGTAAGTTTTTAAAAAAAATTCACATACCACAAAATTCACCTTTTTAAATTGTACAATTCAGTGGTTTTTAGTATATTCAAAAGGTTGTACAAGCATCACCATGACTTAATTCCAAAACATTTTCCTCACCCCCAAAAGAACCCTGTACCCATTAGCAGTCATTCCTCATTTCTCTCCAACCTCCTAGGAACCACCTACTTTCTGTCTCTCTGGATTTCCTATTCTGGACATTTCATATAAATGGAATCATAAAATATGTGGCCTTATGTGTCTCACTTCTTTCATTTATAATGTGTTCGGGGTTCATCCAAGTTATAGCATGTATCAGTACTTCATTCCTTTTTATGCTCATTGTATGCACATACTGAAAGTAAGCATTTATCTTACATAAAAATCTTTCCCCTTAAATTTTAATAGCCCTGAGGGGAGGAAAAAAATTTTAATAGTCTTTACTGTATACAAAGCTCTTATTTAATAAATGATACAATGACAACCTGACATTCCCACAGAGAAGTGCTAAGTATCCTAATAATGCTGTGTTTGCAGATGTGAAGAGCAACCAAAAGCTGGGCATGGTGTGAAAAATAGAGGTGTGTTTCATGAGAAAATATGATAGGCTATTTAAAAGACTCAGGCATAAGGTATCTATATCCAAAGTGTTCCAAACCAAAGGTGCCTGGCCTCAGGTAAACTAATCAATATGGTTTAGGTCAAAAGGAAGCCTAAAAGTCCTGTAGTAATATACATACACCAAAAGGTCTGCTAATTTTTTTTTTTAGTTCATTGATTTTCTTTATTGCTTTTGTTTTCTACTTCATTGACTTCCACTTTGATCTTGATTATTACCTTTCTCCTGTTTGTTTTGTACTTATTTATTATTTTTTTTTCAGAATATTATAGACATACAAACATTTTGGTTACATGAATTACTTTTGCACAGTTTGAGTCAAAGTTATAAGTGTGCTCATCACCAGATAATGTGCATTGTACCCATTAGGTGTGTATTTACCCCATCCCATTGTCCCCTTCCCACCTGCTTGATTTCCACTGAGTTTTACTACCATATGTACACTTGAGTTTTGATCAATTAGTTCCAATTTAATGAGTACATGTGTTGATGAATTTTCCATTCTTGTGATATTTCACTTAGAAGAATGGTCTCCAGTTCCGTGCAGGTTGTTACAAAAGGTATTAGTTCACCACTTTTTTTTATGGCTGAGTAGTGATCTATGGTATACATATACCATGTTTTATTAATCCACTAATGTATCAATGGGCACTTGGTTTGATTCCACAGCTCTGCAACTGTGAATTGTGCTGCATAAATATTCAAGTGCAAGTGTCTTTTTGATAAAATGACTTTTTTTCCTTCAGGTGAATGCTAGATCAAATGGTAGGTCTACTTTTAGTTCTTTGAGATATCTCCATACTACTTTCTATAGAGGTTGTACTAGTTTGCAGTCCCACCAACAGTAAATAAGTGTTCCTTTCTCTCCGCATCCACGCCAGCATCTGTTGTTTTCGGGACATTTTGGCTTGAACTCCCCACTCAAGAGACATAGGCTGGCTGACTGGATAAAAAAATAAAAGCCAAGTTTCTGCTATCTCCACATCTAACTCACAAGGCCTCATTCAGACTCAAGGTGAAGCGATGGAAAACAATATTCCATACAAGTGGAAACCAAAAAAAAGCTGGTATAGCCACTATCAGATAACAGAAACACTCCATTCTACACAAAGTCATGGAAATTAAACAACCAACCTACTACTGAATGATTATTGGGTCACAGAGAAAATTAAAATCGAAATCAAAAGATTCTTTGAACCAAATGACAGAGGGGACACAAGTTATCAAAATCTCTGGGATTCAGCAAAAGCAGTCATAAGAGGTAAATTCATAGCCTTGAGTGCCTACATCATTTCCATCATTTGTCAAAGATCACAAATCAACAATCTAATGAATGTCTCAAGGAACTGGAAAAGCAAGAGCAAACCAATCCCAAACCCAGCTGAAGAAAAGAAATAACTAAGATCAGAGCAAAACTAAATGATGTCAGTAACAAAGGAATTATACAGAAGATTAATGACACAAAAAGTTGGTTCTTTGAAAAGATAAACAAAATTGATAGGCCTCTCACTAGATTAACCATAAATAGAAAAGAAAGGACCCTACTAAGCTCAATCAGAAATTAAAAAGGAGATATTACAACTGATACCACAGAAATACAAAATTTTTTAACATCTATGAATATTATAAAAATCTCTATGCACGTAAACTTGAAAGCACTGAAGAAATAGATAAATTCTTAGAAACACACTCCCTAGGCTCAATTAGGAAGAAAGAGAACTCCTGAACAGACCAATATCAAGCAACAAAACTGGAGCAAAAATAAAAAATTTCACAATAACAACAATAAAAAAAGGTCTGTTAATTTGAATATTGTAAGAAGAAAGTAAACACTGTAGGCCAAAGGTTTCCCTGGGAATTGTACACCATCTGGATAGGGTCTCAATATATTCATACAAATAAATACCATGGGTACCTGTGCATGAGCAAACATGCACACATACCTGTACTCACAAATATGTGCATAGCCACTCAGTCCTTACCTCTCTACCATTGGAAGAACAAGTCATCTGTTTGTAATCCTGAGACCAAACATCTTACGGAGATTATTTAATTCATTTCATCTATAAGAGGCTTTTAATCAACAAATTACTTCCTATGTGTGCCACAATACCAGATGCATTTTGTGATAATTTACATCTTTAAAAGTATTTCTCTAGTAAACTCAAGTTGATTCTATTTCTACTTGCTTTTTCCCTTTACATAAGTTTCTAAAATACTGTTTATCAACCATTAGAAATAGCCTGTGTGCACAATGAAGCAATCTCCTGTGATCCTTTCTTCTCTAGTATTCAGTAAATCCACAATGAAATGTTTTCTACCACCCAAGTGAACTGTTTCAAGTCAAAGTAATTTGCATTCTTATTCAAAGGAAAGTGTTTTGTACATAGCAAAATACCAAAAATACTTATTAAATAAAAGTCA